AGGTGTAGAGTATCCGGACTATAATCGGATGTATAATACATCCTTGGAATTTTTTTTTACATTAGGATACGGTCTTTTTTTCAAGGTATTGCGTAATACGCAATATAAATATATATACCGATGTATAGGCCTATAAACATAGATAAGGTGTATACATCTGTATGTATGTGCATAAGGGCCAATACAAGCGAACGTGTATTTGTCATAGTACATAGTAACATTTTGACTTTAGAATTTGCAACGAATCAATGCTGCAGTGGCGTATCTAGAAGTCTTGGAATGGGGGTGCTGATGGGGGCGCGAAGGTGAAGTGGGTGGGGGCTCGATGATCAGTTGAGGGGCAGTAACTCGCAAAATAAGGTGATTTTTAACTCCTTGACAATGATTTTTGGGTGCGTCGCTTATACAAACATATTGATGTTGCGCTTTCCATGTATTCCTGTAGTTCAGGCATATTATAGGTCTTAAGTCATCGTAAATAAACGTTTATAATGAAATGCTGTGTCTTCATTGTGTTATTTATTCATTTTAACACCGTATACATTGTATTTAAAACCCTGTTTCTCGAAGTGTTTCATTACACACAGGGTAATATATACTCCGATTAAGCGCCGCAGCGCTTATTCGAGAGCAACGTTTACGGTACATCCTGCAAAGGGCCTAATGGTCAATGACCGCAAGGTAACAGGGGCTGTATCCAAGGTGCCACAGAACACAAAACCACCAGAATAATTATTTAATGTAAATTTAAGCTTCATAATTATCTTTATACCTGTACCTACATGTATGTTGCTATTTTAGTCTGGCCAAAGGAATCAGCCCTTACTTGTGAATAAATATACCTGCAATTTCTTACTTCAAATTCATGCAACACAAAAATCAAGAAAATAAACTTGAATAATTTTTGACAAATTTATTTAATAATTGCCATTTCCAGGTCATAAGTCAAAACTGGGTGATATTAAACTAGCTCCCATACCAAAAAAGGTGATTAACAATATTTTTTATAAACAGAATAAAAAAAATGTTATTCCAACATTTATTATCATGATTGTAATTGATTACAGTACAGTAGTTGGTAAAGTAATGACCAAAATGAGGCATTAGTTTTCTTGAAAAATGAGCCTCAATTATTTTTTGGCATGGTGTAAATAAGAGCTTTCAGAACGGTTGCATTACAACCTTTCATTGTTATACAGTACAGCTCAATATAAGCCTGCAACTGAACTTTTCTCGTTTTTAAAATGTTGGGTCTCCGGTGTAAAGCGGATCACCAAAGTGTGGTCACCCGAAAATAGGTTTGGGAAGCGCTGGCATACATTCAAACACCCACAGCTGTTCCACAGTCTAGCACATTATTGTTCAAGACATTAATTTAGCATGGCCAGGCCATATTGTGCCTGTATAGAGCATAGGGTATCTGTACCTCTTATGCATATCTAGGAAAACTAGGAGATTTCACAAACACTCTTTCTGCTAATTGTAAAAATTAGTTCGTCAAAACGAATAGGAATTACATCAGTGGTCAATATCACTCAGAAACAGGAAAAGAAATACAGGTAAATTGAATGTCGCGACAATTGACATATATAACTAAATATTCAATATATCAGGGGTAAGATACACCTATGTAAGTTGTGCATAAATTGTAACTTTTAACAAGTGATTAATAATTTTGTATTACTTGGTTAATACCTATTGTATATATACAGTAGTAGTTTACAGCTCAATCAATTTGTATTCCTTTTGGGATAAACTATTAATCCAAAAAATAATGCTCACTTTTCTAGTCAACAACTTCAAATTTAATAAAGAAAAAAGAAATTAAACTGATGAAAGTTTAAAAAAAAAAAAATTATCGTTTAAATTGCAAATACCTGTTTTGCTATAAAAATGTAATTTATTACTTTCACTATATCATGACAATCTCTAGGCACATTGTCATGCTATAACTGATGTATATAAAAATGTACATAATAACAATACCATCAATAACAAGAATATTAAGATAAATAACAATAATAATAATAATTATTAATAATTATATTAAGGGTAGAATGCTTCCATGTATTTTATGCTTAATTTGTAATTTTTTTTAAAGAGAAAGTTTTTTTTATATTATTACTTGGTTACACATCAATTTTGATTAACTATAAATCAAATTCTATTCATTTTAAGATGAATGATATTAAAATAATATAGTTTACTTTCTTAACAATCTTTAATTAGAGTATTAATCTTAAATGATAAAAAAAAATAAATAAACTGAAAATTTTAACTTGCAAAATACCAGCTTTGCAACAAAAATGTAATTATTCATCAAATGTTGTTAAAAGTACTCTAGTGTTGATCAATTTAAATTTTATATAATGGTCATAATTATTTTTGTAATCTAGCAATTATGAAAACTTGCCTCAAAAAACATATCCTGTATCTACAACAATCATTACTTCACAGGTGCCCAAATCTCAACACACATCAGTATAGTAGATATATCCTTAATTTGTTTTTATTAATTTTTGGAGGTGGGGTTTAATACACCAAGAACCCCCTTTCCTACAAATATGAGTTTTTTCATATTTAAACTGATAGCAAGCCCTATAAAAATGTTAACACCTCATGCACAATTCAAAGCCAACCTTTATTTTTATGAAATTATATTAAAGTCAACTGAGCTTCTCATTCAAGTTATACCCTGGGCTTTTGACCAGGAAACCCTGGTATGTAAAATTTGACATAAAGTCGGGGTGGGCTTACATCCGAGGAACTACAGTAATTTATTTGATAAGGTCTCCCTTATTATGATTCTGGATACTGTGGACAGATTTTATTCAAGTTTGGTCACCCCTCACTGTAGATTCAGAAGGAACAGATGACCGACTGATTGATTTATATTTACAACACTTCAAATATGTGACTCACCCATATATGGGCATAATGATGCCACATCACACCATATATGGCTAAATTAAAGGTATTCCACACAATGCTAGAATTCATATGTACACAATAATAACAACAATACAACTGTAATAACAATAACAATAAAAATATAAATAAAAACTATACAAGGCATACATAAGGTATACATATAAAAGAGAATTATACTGTATAACAGAGTTGGATTAGTGAATGCTCTTCAAACTATTTACAACATTGACAATTGGTAATGTATGTACAACTGCTAGAGGAAGTACAAAGGGGTGTCTATACAAGTCTATGTTCATGTAAGTATTTGTACTAACTCTATGTTCATGAGTGTTTGTACAACTCCTGTTCATATGAGTGTCTGCTTAACTCCTGTTCATATGAGTGTCTGCTTAACTCCTGTTCATATGAGTGTCTGCTTAGCTCCTGTTCATGAGTGTCTGCTTAACTCCTGTTCATATGAGTGTCTTCATAACTCCTAAGTTTCAATTGCGGAATTGCGACGTGTACGAATGCAGCTGATCTGCCTTCAGTCCTTCGCTATTCGTTATTGAACGATCTGCATTGGCGTCCATCAAAACTGTAATCGCTTCCCCAAATTTCCTACTGACAGCCAAATGTAAAGGCGTGCAGTGGTCAAAGGTTAGGACATCGACATCTGCGTTTAGCGTGTATACAAGAAACCTAACAAGGTCGGATTTGCCTTGTTCTATGGCGTGATGAAGGGCTGTTCTCCCGCTCCATCAAAATTTGGCCGAGTGGGTATTTAAGTTGTTTAAATCGCCAAAGTCTTATGCTAATGCATTGAGTGGAGTCGAAAGTGGTGTCTATAATTTGTCTAAAATGTAATAAGTTAGTGTACTGTAGAAGATACTTTTTATGTACACAAAATTTGAATGATTCACTGATTCATAAAATTAAGGTTGATCTGATTTAAATTTCCATTCAGACTAAAAATATGAAGTTTTGAGAGGCTGGGGGCCTAAGCCAATCGCTTGCGGGACTCGCCACATCCAGTACTGACTAAGACGATCGCTGCTGATTTACAGGTACATATTCAGCTTAAATACTGTCACCAAGTCATTTTGTTGCAATTTCTGTATGAAATATTTAAAATATTGGACAAATTCAAATTGCTGAATTGTAGAATAAGATGTTCCTTTTGACTATGATGGTCAACAAGTCAGAAGAACGTTGTTTGTATTACTCTCTAGTCTAGGGGTAAGCCATGTTCACGTTTCTTTCACTCCATTTCAAATCTAATGGATCAAAACCCTGACTTTTATTAAAGGAATATTTACCAAGGCTTTCAATAAGTTGGTCGGGAATGTGGAATAAAATCTCTGGTGGGGATCATGGGAAGAAATTTTTAAATGGGAAAAATTGTTTAGTAAATGGTGTTAATCTCTTTGTATTTTATCAATATCACGGCCTTGTAAAAGAACACCTTCCGGTGATACAAGCTTTTCCGTGTTTAAAAAAAGCCTTTATTATTATTATTACCTTGAAATTAGGCCTAGAATTATAGTAAAATTAAAATCAAACATATTTGAAAAATTCCCAACCGACAGACCTTGATTTCAATATGTTAATGTACTTATGCAACAACTTTTGTTTTATTAAACTACATAAATAATAATAAACCTGCAAATCCAGGGTAGGCTTTGCAGCCATTCAATTCAAATGCGCAACAAAAAGTGGGAATTCCCATATGCAAATTAGAATGCACTAGAATGGCAAACATCCAATAGGAAATCAGAGTGGTTATCAATTTCAATAGACATTGAGCTCAACAACAACCCACAGAAAAATCCATGGGACTTTTACAAGATAAAAATTAACACAATTTCCAACAAAAATCCCCACTGTTAATCAGAGATGTTGACAAGTCTAAAAAGAAAACTAACTTGGATTTTCCGTTTGTAAAATCCAAGATATCCAAAATTTGAACTGCACTATAATAAGCATTGAAATAAATGTTTAATTTATTTTTAATTATTTTTTTTAAACAATTTTAATCCAAAAAAATCCAAAAAGTGTTTATGAGAGAAATATATCTTAAATAAACGTATTATTATTTATCTACACGTAAGTGTACAGTATTTTAATGGTTCCTCTGCGTTTATTCTTCATTTTTGGTTACTGTTCAGATGTTTTATGGTGTCATTCCATTTCTCGAGTTTATTTTGTGTAAAGCGCTTAAAAGCATTGTTTTGTATTGAGCGCTCTATACAACTAACATTATTATTATTATCAATTTATGGAAATACCAAGAAATTGTACCACAAGATGTTCCACCTATTAACAATTTAATGTTAATATATCTAAGGTACCACAGTACCAAAACTGAATCCAACTAACGTTAGTAATTCAAATAAAACTTTACCTTCAAAATTTTGAAGTTCCAGGTTCTGTGGAATAGATGGACAATAAAAGCGTCCTGGCCAGTTATACCTGTCTTTATCTGTTATTGGCCTGGTCAGTTCCCTGACGCACTCCATATAGTCGTGGCTTTTACACGCTAAGTGTAAGGATGTTTGTCCGTTATGGTCCTGCATCTCCAGATTTGCTCCTGCAACCACTAACTGCCTTGTCAACCTTGGTTGTTTCATTATCACTGACAGATGCATTGGTGTCTGTTGAATACAAACAGTTCAATTAAGCAATTAATTAAATTTAATTACATTTTTCCTGTTTGTTCTATTTCAAACTGAAATTTTGGCTGAGTCTGGAACCTGCAGCAACAATGCAGTACATGATTCTGTAAACTAAAATCCTAAAGTACTGTATAAAATGACTATATTTTACTTCTGACAACTGTATTATTACTGTATTATTACCAGGACAGTTGTAAAAATAAAAGAACTTACCTGTCGCAGTTTATTCTGGATGTTCAGATACTCCAAACACGGTGAACAAGAGATGAATCTCTCAGCATATTTTGGGCTGTTGTAAATTATGCTCGAATGGAGCGGGCTATCGAAAGAAAAACAATAATGTACAATTAATCCATACATTATAATTAAAACAATAGTAAAACCAAATTTTCTTCCCAATTACCATTTTAATTAATTAAGGCCAAAATAGTATTCTTTCACAGAAATTATTTCATAGCTAATTAATGACCAAAAAATTGTGTCACTCAAGCATAGTAACAGCCTTGGAAATCACAATTATTTTAGACCAGTAATTGATTTGTTTTATAAGTCAACAATTTTTAGGCAGTGGCATACCTATGGAGGTGGGCAGGGGAGAATCAGAAAAGCTTGTTCCCCCTCTCATATGAAATTTGCTGAGCAAAAAAAAAAAATAAATTTAAGGGGTTAATAATCACTACAGTAGGCCCTATAAGATTTTTGCCAGCTAACTCAATCTTGATTAAAGCCCCCAACTTTGTTCCCCACTCCCCACCACCAGCTCCCCTTGTCAATATACCTACAGTAAATACACCACTGGTTTAATGTAAGGTAATCATTACTTACAAAAAAAGTGCATTGTAGAGCAACTGTCATTACTCAGAGTCTTCCCTGTCTCTTATACACATCTAGATGTGTATAAGAGACAGCAAGTATACCCTGAGGGGGAAGGAGGGGAGGTAGTGCTACTTTGTGCTTTTCATGAAGTAGAAAAACATAATTTTGCACCAAAAAAAAAAAAAATAACCATTAATTTTTATGATTTTGGTTGTCAAGATTGATTAACAAAAATTACAATCTTTTTTTCTGGCTTTATATTTAGCAACTGTATTTCAACATAAAGGAACAAAATGATGAAAAACTTCTTTTATCATGGATGTCAGCAATCAATCACTCATTCGTGATAGCTAAACCATTTGATAACAAAAGGCGGCTAAAGTACACAAAGTCACTCAAGGACTTCTATATATACCGCACTGAACAATGAATGGAAATACCCTTGAAATTTCCAAAGGTATTTCTGCATGCCCACGCCCAAGGAAAAATTTGTAGAAAATATTAAATATAATCACCTTTCACTATGTAAATCCTAATTAAAGTTTAGAATCGATTCCTTGAATAATTAAAACAACCTAGGCCACAACTGTATCGCCTGGGGTGGAAAAGGGGGAGGGGTCAGGCCTTGATTTTTAAATGAATACAGTATGGTCCACTATTATTTACCACCAGGCCCAATTGTGATAGGCCGAATCTAGGCTTAGGCCCTAGCAATGCAGAAGTGTTCATAAAACTACTGTACATTATGCCTAAGCCTACGTATGGATCAACCAAGCTGGCATATGCCAGTCAGTAAATCGATTTCCAGCAGTATTTTCTGGAAAAAAAATTACAAATCAAATGTTACAGTACCACTACTACTACTAGGCTAGGCCTATTATTTAATTCAAAAGAAGTTTACTTACGTGTCTCCTTCATCGTCTTGATAAAACGCATCTTCAGTGAGGCACTGGCAAGATTCGACATCATCACAAATGCATTCGTTTGACAGGGCATCGTCACAGATTTCCTCTGAAATATCTGACTGTTCGTTTATGTTGAGATTCCTCAATCTTTCGGTTACTGTGCTGTTGTAACTTGCACATTGTTCGTTATTCTCACATTCTTCTTCTTCTCTTAGTACTTGCAAGTCATATTCTTTAAATGAGTCTATTCCTGAATCATATCTGTCGTCAAATGGTAACTTTAAATGACTGACTTCCTTACGAAATTGGCTGGTTTCTGCTAGGCCTAGGTCTGGGTTTGCCTGTAAGCCATTAACACCGGCCGCAGTGTTCAGTAGGGTTGTCGTTGTTTGAGGTTTATTATTAACGATAAGCCCAGGCATAACGGTAGACATATTTGTCGGCTAACCCGCGCTTTAAATATATGGTTATTGAAAACAAGTTTCGAAGCAAACTTACTGATTTTGTTGTTTTAAAATTAACAGCTGATCCTTCCTTTCTTTACGATGATAGCTGGGCGAACCTGAATATTGATGATTTGGCAGTCGACGAGAATTTTATACCTATACCGAAAGGGGATTCCCAAAAATTATCCGAGACGTGAATGGCCATTCAAGATCACATGGGTAATTCAGCCAATTGAGACTCATGTATTTGGGGCTTCCCCAAGCCTCGTTTTCGTTACATACGCCACTCAATTCAAACAATAAGTCGATACACCAACATTTACTTTAATGGAAGTGACCACAATTTTTACATCTATCGAAAAACAGTTTAATATGTTTTCTAAATTGCGCATTTCCGCATTAGGACAGTTTTTCCCTCAAAGTATTGTGTAAACTGTACTGTAAATCATAGGCCTAGTCTTAATAGGCATAACTAGGATGATAATAAGTGATATTTTTAATATAGATATTAAAAATATCATTTATTATCATCCTAGTTATGCCTACTAAGACAGGCCTATGATTATATAGGAAAATGTAAGTCCCCAGTGATTCGAGTCAAGTCCTTCTTATTAAATATAGCCTAAACTCGTATTTCCGCATTAAGACAGTTTTTTCCCTCAAAGTATTGTGTAATACTACAGTGTAAATCATAGGCCTACTCTTAGTAAGCATAACTAGGATGATAAATGATATTTTTAATTATATAGGAAAACGTCCTTCCTATTGAATATAGCCTAAACTCGTAACGTAAATGATGCTTGGAATTTATATTAGGCGTCCATTTACTCTGGTAAATAAACCGGTATTATTTTACAATATTAAAAATTGCTTGTATGATGATTTTATATGCATACAGTAGGCCATTGTTTTTGTATAATTGTAGGCTAAGTGTAGGCTATGTGTGCAATGTGTGGGCCTATGATGTAATTGTAATCATGGAGGTGTAATAAAACTCACATGACAATTCACAAAATTCATTGATAAACACAGGAAGCGTAACGTCCTTTCGGTCACAGACCTCAAGTTGAGTTGAGCAATTAGGCAACGCAGAGTGATGAAGTAGGCCTACTATAGTAAATACACAATAAGAGCTAAAAAAGACAGTGTAAAAGTCCATTGGCCAATACATGATGTCAATGAACAACAAGAAAAGACGGTGCTCGGCCTACACTTACACCGTCCGCATGATAAACCGAAAAAAGTCTTCTTATTACAGTATCATTTTCATCTAAAAATGAGTAGGACTATGTTGGATCTTAGGCCATAGGGCTATACATTATTCCTAAAGTAAGGTAGATTTTCAAATCTCCCGTCAGAGAAAGTTAGATACACCTACACACCCAATGGGGGCTCCAGCAGGGATCACAGAGCAAATTTCCCCAATCAGCCCTGTCGGATAAGCATGGACCCCTTCGACGTGGGACGAGCTACAGGTCGTCGGACCCAGGGAATTGTTCCCTGGTCGGACCTGATGGATCACAGATCCCTCAGGCGCTTTTCATAGGCCTAAGTTTTAAATTATACAGTAGTGAAACACTATCTCCCGCCAAACCTAAGTCACCCAACCAATATTTTTGTGAAGCAATTCCTTGAATATTGTTAAAATATCTTCCAATGATCTCCACACAAGGGACCTTGGTTCGGACCCAATGGAGGAATTCTCGAAAGTTCTGGAGTCACCACTGAAGCCCACCCAAGACTGTACATATGGAAAGTTGGATCAAAGGAGATTGTATGAATACTAGACAAACCCAGAATGCCACACCACTGGAGTTTCAATGTAATTGAGTTCAGATGTAGATAATAATTCTAATGAAATACTAGTCTAAAATTCAAAAGAAAAACCATGTCAATAATACTTGAATGATTACAGGCAGCCGTCAATGCGGTAAGTAATGACGAAACATGTTTATGTTCTAAATGCCGCCTCGTCATAGTTTAAAAGTCCATAGTTTAACAAGTACGCAATCGTTATATACAGTAAGGAACGGCCTGTTATAATATATAATCATATATATAGGTCTATATATATGTATATATGTGCATATACATATTATATATATATACTGTATATATATATATATATATATATGTATATATGTATATATATACATATATATGTATATATATGTGTATATATGTATATATATATATATTTTATATCGCTATGCTTCTGCATCAAGCACTGTTATCTAGATGATCTGGTTTCAACCTACACTGCATAGTATTTGTATATATATATTATATAAATACATATAATGGCTATATAGGGAAAATCGATATATAAAAGACACATGTTTAATAATGTATAATATTTGCAAAAATTCTATTGAAATCGACATTACTTCTTAATGGGTTTTCCATTGGAAAGTTAGACGATTATTGCTTGATTTGATTTCATTCTATTTCATATTTATAAATAGGCATTGGTAAACTATGGACAAACCCAGACTGCCTCATCGTTATCGATTACACTAAGACAATAACTCTCATTATTGAACATTCGTCTAAACTTCCAATGGAAATTTCACGCCAGGTTCGCGTTGTTGACAGGCCGCCCTCTGCGCAGTAATGATGAATATCATTTATTGATGTAGTAATAATATAATCCTGGTGTTGTCTTTAATTTACGCTTGTTAATTTTTATACAAGAAGACATATCATCACTATTATCTCTATTATCACGAATCATTATATATATAT